ACTGTGCACCCTTGAGTACCCCTGGGGGGAAGCACTGTTTAAATTTATGGTGTCTACACACTCCATTAAAATGGACACAGGAAGCTGCCTTATTCTGAGTAGAAATCATTGGTCCATCTACTCTATCTAGTAGATGCTGTCCTTATTACACACTAGGGATGAGGAAGAGATCCAATTCCATTTGCATTTAAAAGGAAATCTACCTAATTCACATTTTCCAAAACAGTACTTGAAACAAAACACAGATGTGCGTCGAAATCGGCACTTCTCTGAATTTTGCAATGCGTTTCTCCAGCTACGTAGTTTACAAAAATGCATAAACTAAGGCAGGGGTCAGCAACCTTTTTCAGCCATGGGCTGGTCCACTATCCCTCATACCATGTGGTGGGCTGGACTATATTTTGAAAAAAAATATGAACGAATTCCTATGCCCCCAAAATAATCCAGAGATGCATTTTAAATAAAAGCATACATTCTGCTCATGTAAAAACACCAGGCAGGCCCCGCAAATAACCCAGAGATGCATTTTAAATAAAAGGGCACATTCTACTGATGTAAAAACACTCTGATTCCCAGACTATCTTTGGGCTGGATTTAGAAGGTGTTTGGGCCAGATCCGGCCCCCGGGCCTTAGGTTGCCTACCCCTGTACTAAGGTAAGATGAGCACAAAATTGCATATAGTCATGAAAGGAGCACCATAATAGAGGAAATTGCTTTGCAAAATGTATATATTAGGTAAAACTGCATACAAATGCACATATTAGAAGAAATCTGCACTAAAATGCAGGCGAATTTTCACGAAGACTTAAAGAACAAATCACAAACTGAGGTAGTAAGGTGGAAAACAGAACTTAAGGAAGAAAGAGGAGCTGAGAGAAACTGAAACTGACATATTCCCCCAACCCTATACACCAGAACCTTTAACTCAAGGGTGGGGAACCTGAAGGTCTCCAGATGTTTCTGGACCACAGCAAGCATCATTCTTGACGAACGACCATGCTGGCTGAGTCTGCTGGGAGTTGAAATCCAATGACATACGGGAAATTTCTGAATGGGACCTGCAGCAAAAGTTTGCAGCATGGAGTGTTCATGTTCAAGATTCCAGCCACTCAATCTCACCCACCCCAATTGGCCCCAGTCGGTCAGTCTGACTGACGGTGGCCACCGATTCCTCATTAGGTTGTTTTGAGAGTCCCCGGTTTGGATTCTGCCCCCCCCGCAAAAAACCTTTTGTATTTTGGTAAACTGTGGGGTTCTCCAAGCCATCCAATACCTGCTGGTTCGAGTTCCCTATGTCCCCACATAAGGGTCCTTGTCTGGATGGGGGCCAGCACATACAATGTGTTAAAGCAACCCTCACACACTTAAAAAAAAAAAGCTGCACAGCTAATGTAACATGTAGCTTGAGCCATAAATCAGAAAAATTAAAAGTTGGTGACAGGAGGGATAACAATTGCAGAAAGGATGAGGGGTATGCAAACGGTACAAGCTGTTTGAAGAGAAGAACAATCTTTTAATTCCTGAGTTGTTCTAATCTTTGAGATGACATCAAGAATGCAGGAAATTGCATATTCGCAATGAGATTGTGCTACCAGAAAAATGTAAATTTCGGGAAATACTTCTGTGGAACTGAACAGCAGAGAGATAAGGATGTACTTTCACCATCCAGCCTCCCTCCACCCCCGGTGATCAAGAAGCTTTTGGGATATTTCCATGCTGAAACAAATCCTATTTAAGCCAAGGCATTTACCACACATGGACCTTGCTCCCAGTCAGGAAATTATTATAGACACATGAGGCATAACCTGTTATGAACTTCTCTGAAGTCAAGGGAACTGTACCAGACCACAAGCAATTCCTAAATCACCAGGCTCTATTCCCATCAGCAGAATTTGTTTTTATGTTAAGATAATAAACTAATGCCAGAAACAGAAAAGCTGTTGTCCCAGCTCTGATGTATGAGTAGGTTGTAATTTAACTGCGAGTATGCAATATTTATTAACAATTTGTAATGTTTTTTTCAAACATTTCTATCTATGTGAATGTTAGCAACTCTGGACTGGGCTGTTCTCATTATGCCATTTATGCCTCTTAAATATCTTACTTAAAAAAAATTATGGCATAGATAATATGCAAAACGTGTTAATGCGCAAATAAGAAGAAGAAAAGAAAACAAGCTAATCTCGAGCACAAAAAGCAATGAACCTACACAGATGAGCCAAATTAACTTTGAGCAGCTTGATCCATCTGTTTTATTCTTTCAACTGGGAAGGGAAATTTAATATGATATAATTTATCTGCAACAGTACTCAGTTTGACACTCATAAAACAATATAAAACAAAGAATCATGGGAGCAGTGTTTTTAAGGGTACCGAGAGTATCTAAGGTAAAGGGACCCCTGACCATTAGGTCCTGTCGTGACCGACTCTGGGGTTGCGGTGCTCATCTCATTTTATTGGCCGAGGGAGCCGGCACACAGCTTCTGGGTCATGTGGCCAGAATGACTAAGCCGCTTCTGGTGAACCAGAGCAGCGCACGGAAATGCCATTTACCTTCCCGCCAGAGTGGTACCTATTTATCTCCTTGCACTTTGACGTGCTTTCGAACTGCTAGGTGGGCAGGAGCAGGGACCGAGCAATGGGAGCTCACCCCGTCGCAGGGATTCGAACCACCGACCTTCTGATTGGCAAGTCCTAGGCTCTGTGGTTTAACCCACAGCGCCACCCGCGTCCCAACCGAGAGTGTCTAGGAGGCCTCTATTCCCTGCACATTACTACAAATCAGGACCTGTCTGCCCATGAGGCTGGGTGTGGTGGCATCTCCCAAGGGATAGCGTCCTGTTCCACAGCCCAGCTTGTCTGCTGGTCTACCAGCCTCTAAGGGCAGAGAGCAACGGTTGGCAAAGCTCAGTGGAACGCCTGCCCTCCTTCCAACTCAGATTTCTCCCATCCCACCCCACTCAGCAGAGTGTTGAGTCTTTGTTGATCTTCTATCCCATGAGCAACGGAATTGTAGAGTTGGAAGGGACCCCGAGGATCACATAGTCCAACCCCCTGCAATGCAGGAATATGCAGCTGTCCCATACGGGGATCGAACTTGCAACCTTGGCATTATCTGTACCATGCTCTAATCAACTGAGCTATCCATGAATTGACGTTGCACTGGCTTCTCCTTGAGCTGCTAAAATGTGTGGTAGATGCACATCCCTTTCTGTACACACCATTAAACAATCCTCTGTAACTACATATGGTTTATTCTCTAATAATAATAATAATAATGTTCTATGAGCAATGGGCTGAATCTCTGGGTTGTGTTCCAAGTTCTACTCAAGATAGGCCCACTGAAACTAATGGAACCAAATTAGAGATGTTGTATCCAGCTAGGTTTAACTCAGGGTTACTCTAAAGTTAGTCATGTCCATTAAATTTCAACAGGTTGACTATGGGCAGGATTGGGTAGAGACAACGCCACGTCTGCTTCGACAAATGAAAAAATGAGGACCGAATAGTATGAGCTCCTTTCTTTCCTTCACCTTTTTCAGCCAAATGCAGCAATTTTCTCACTTATCTGGTCCATTTTTCCACAATCAAAGCATCCCAGATTTTAACAAGCCATCGCCGAATGTCCGGAAAGGTGTAACCCTACCTCATTTCTCGGCCACAGCCAATTTAGCAGCTGGGCTTAGATTTCTGGCTTTGTCGCCGGTGCTGCAGGCCAGTCGGAGTTTGAGGCCGTTGCTCAGTGAGATCCAGCCTTCAAACTGGACATTGTTAATTGCAAAGAATGGCTTCCAGGAGGACAGTGACTTGGTGAAGACACTTTGCTGCAACACTGCCAGGAGAAAGTGTGAGTCACTTGGCCTTGAATCGACAGAGGAGGAGGAAGCTTGAGAGAGACAAGCAGCTTAAAGGCTAAGATCACAGAGTACCTGGCCTTTGTCCACACCAGGCTCCTTCAATTGCAAATTTATGGAAGCCATTTTGGGAGCCCAGGGCTCTCCCTTTCTCCCTCCACCCCACTGTTGCAGTGGTGTAGTGGGAAATTAGTAGAGGCTAGTGATGGGGGAGAAATTAGATTCAGCTCACAATTAAAGGCAAAAATCACTTCATCCACACTTTCCAAAACAATACATAAATCAAAGAACCGCCACCCTTTGAAATCTGCACACCTATGAATTTTGCAACACACTTCTCCAGTCAAGCAGTGCATACAGGAATGCATATAATAGGGTAAACAGTATATCGTTTAAAATGTATCACAAAGAAAATTACTTTGCCAATTGTGAATATTAGGCAAAACTGCATACAGTGGTACCTCGGGTTAAGTACTTAATTCGTTCCGGAGGTCCGTACTTAACCTGAAACTGTTCTTAACCTGAAGCGGCACTTTAGCTAATGGGGCCTCCTGCTGCTGCTGCACCGCCGGAGCACAATTTCTGTTCTCATCCTGAAGCAAAGTTCTTAACCTGGAGCAATATTTCTGGGTTAGCAGAGTCTGTAACCTGAAGCGTATGTAACCTGAAGCGTATGTAACCTGAGGTACCACTGTACAGGCATACGTAGATTAAGGGGGGAAATATATAGTCAAATTTTCGTGTGGATGGTTTGTTAAAGGCAAACTGATGTGAAAATGTGGAAAACTGAATTAAAGACTGGAAAAATAACCAGCTGAGAGGAGTAGAAATTGACAGATTCATCTATCCATAGCAGAAGCTCATTGTAACAACCATGTCCCCAACTCACCGCAAGAGTCAAAAAGCACAGCTGTGTTGAATTATTTTTCTCATGGATGGGGAACCTCAGGCCTGATTGGAAAAGGGGAGGGGGGGAAATGCAGCCCTCCAGGTCTCTTTAGCTAGCCCTCAGGACTCTCCGTGGCCACATCCACTCTCTCCAGGCTACTCTTCTCAGCAGCTCTGCTTTGCACCCTCCTTGAGTGTTTTTGCCTGGCTGGAATATGTCTTTCAACTTTGATAATTCATTTTGCTTGCCTGGGTAGAGGATAGAGGTGGGGTATCAATACCATCAGCGAGCTCAACTTAACACATAACTTTATTTCATAAAAATGCAACTGTGCTAAGGAATGATAAGCCCAGTTCCTACCTAACCCTAAGCCTCTTGGGGGGGGGGAACCCTCAGAAACCCATGCAACAAAATTGGTTCATTCTCAGAGGCAAACCTCATATTTCTTGACTTGGTGGGCCCTATATATGTTTTTTGCAGTGGAAGAATTCAATCGCAGGCTGCAGAATCAGTTGGGCAATTCCAGTTTCGAGAAAAGAAATGAAGGCTTTGAGTGTCCTCTAGTGGTGTGAGATTTTAATGCAGGATTTGTTTCTTGACGAAGAACAGAGCGGAAGTTAGCAAAGAGAAGTTGGCTGGTGCCAGTCTTGCCACTCTGACTGGCCAAGTTCATGACCCTCCCTTGCAAGGAGGGGCAGGTGGTGCCCCCATCACTGACCTGTGGGGTAGGAGGGGAAAGAGGCTTAGCCTCCCTCCTCATCTGTCTCAGCAGCACCTTGTTTATGCTCCGGTAGTGATTGGAGCCTCAGTGAGCCTGTGCCATCCAGCCCCCTCGCCCCATAATCTTCTTGACCATTGTGCAAGCATCTTACCAGCAACCTTAGTGCTGGCGCACCTGAGCACTGCAGATAAGGAGGAGGAAGGCGTGGGCAGCGGCAGGGAAGGGGTTGCAAAGGAGGAGGAGGAGGCACCAAAAGTTGGCACTTTCGGTTTTGCCTCAGGTGGCAAAACATCCTGGGCCACCCCTGATCCACACCACACACTGAAAGCACATTCGACATGCATGGCTCCCCCCCCCCAAAAAATAATCCTGATCACTGTAGTTTAACTCTTACAGAGCTACAATTCAAAACACCCCTAATTACAATACCCAGGATTCTTCGGGAATCTTACACAGGGCAGAACACCCCACACATTTTGATTTGAAACTAGTCTATAAATCCTTCTGAATGATCCTTTCTTCTTCTTCGTTAAGTGTGCATTCTGCACCTTATATGCATAATATTAAATTCAGTACAGAACAAACTCGTCTGCTAATTTTTAAATACCCACCCAACCCACTTGCTTCTGTTGCCATCCTAAGTAAGCCTCTGCTATAGATCTAAGGCAGGGGGACACTTCCTGGAATGATGATGTTGATGACAACAACAACAACAACAATGTTGCTAATTGAATATATTAATTAATCCCACTCTGCAATTACTCTTACCTGCCTTGATTGATTCCCCTCTGAAATCAAAGTTGTTTCTCGTTCTAGCCCTTAAATAAAAGAGACATAATTGTGGTGTCAGCGGGTGCTCCATATCAATAACATCTGGTGTTATCTATATCTGATATGAATAGTCTTCAAACTCTGCAGTTTTATGTCCCAGTCTACAACTTCTATGTTAAATGAAGCTGACCTGGGTCCCATCTGTCTTGTGCATTTAAAGCAGTTTCATACCACTTTAAACAGTCATGGTTTCCCCCAAAGAATCATGAAGGCCTTAAGTGTACTGAAAGTGGTTAGGAGACCCCGATTTCCCTCATGGAACTACAATTCCCAGAGTTCCCTGGAGGGATTAACTATTAAACCACTCCGAGTATCGTAGCTCAGTGAGGGGAATAAGGTCTTCTAACCACTCTTACCACTCTTAAAAAATGCAGTCCTCAAGATTCTTTGGGGAAAGCCATCACTGTTTAAACTGGTATGATGCTACTTTAAATGTATAGTGTAGATGGGGCCTTATACTGCATCAAATAATTGGTCCTTCCAGCCCAGTCTTGTCAACCCTAACTGGCAACAGCTCCCCAAATTGAGATCCTTTTAATTCAAGGGTGGGGAACTTGCAGCCTTCAAGATATTGCTATTCCTCATCCTCCTATACAACCTTTAGAAAACATCTGAAGGCAGCCTTGTATAGGGAAGTTTTTTTAATGTTTAATGTTTTATTGTGTTTTTATATGCATTATGTTGGAAGCTGCCCAGAGTGGCTGGGGCAACCCAGTCAGATGGGTGTGGTATAAATAGTAAAATTATTATTATTATGAAATAGGACATCCCTAATTTCATCGGAGAAATGTTGGAGGGTATGAACCGGGTGCCCTCCAGATATTTTGGACTACAGCTCCCTAGAGTATTGGCCCAAAACAAAGGACTCCCTATACAGCTGCAAATAAAATGTTTTAATTGTGTTTTAAGTGCCATATACAATGTGACACTAGATTGCGATGATGAGCCTTATAGAAAATTCAATGTATTTTTTAAAACGCTTTTTAAAAAAGCATTTTCAAAACAGATTTTATATGTGTGCAGATTCCACCCAAGTTAAAAGCAACATACAGTATAGAACCGTAGCAATCAGATGTAGCTGATAAGAAAGATCTAAAAACAAAAAACTGGAGCCAAGCTAACACCAGTCACAGCAACGGCCAGAGAGTCTGATGGCTGGATTATCATTGCAGCCTGTATTAAGCTGTATTTACAGGGCCGTAACCCAGGCAGCAAAGGAAACAGGAAGCAAGCCCCATCAGCTACAGAAGAGGATTATGAAGGGCATACGGTAAAAGGCCAGGTTCTCGCCCCCTGCGGTGGGGGGGGGGAGTTTGAGGATGGCGGGAAGTGATGACTAAGAAGCTTTCAACAACGAGGCCTTTCCCTTCTGACACTCGAAGCCATCTGTGCTTCTTGCAACAGGTCCACTCTCACATCCACAAAGCAAGACAGTCAAACAAGGAGGAAACCTATTGGGAAAACATAGGCGGGGGTGCAAAAGGGATCTGCAAAGCTATAATAATAATAATAATAATAATAATAATAATAATAATAAGTGCTTTTTTTCCTAAAAAATGTTTAGGGGTACTCTCATTTTGACTCAATAAAATCACCATTTAATAGTTAAATCGGGAAAAATTATTACAGCAAATGGATAAAAGTACAAAGATTCACAAAATGTTTAGGGGTATGCGTACCCCTGCGTACCCACAGAAATAAAGCACTGATTATAATGAATTTATTTATAGCCCATCTTTTTCCTTGACAGGGACTCAAGGTGGCTTACAGATAAAATAAGAACAGCTCTCTCTGTATATAAATGCAACAGGCTGAAGTTTTGGATTACCATTAAAAAAAAAGCACAACTAATCTCAAGCACATTCTTCTAATTCTTCTTTTCTTTCTTTCAAAAATTCATGTTAGACATGAATCTCCAGTGTTCTCAGTAATAGATGCTATTTAGCTGTAGGAGAGATAAGTGTGAACACAATGAGAGGGAAGGGGGAAAAGCCAGGATTTAAAGTATGATGTAGGGGCAAGGCAGTCCAATGCACAGGGCCATATGGAGCCCTCAAGGCCTTTTTTGTGGCCCCCAGCATAGTTGGATTGCCCCCACACACACCCCCTCCCTCACTTCCTTCCCAAAGCGAGGTAAGCAAGGTGCTGGGCTTTGAGAAGGAGGCCCACTTGATATGAAAAGTAGGAACTGCCCTGATTGAGGGCCGCATTCACACCACTCATTTAAGGCACTAGAATATCACTTCATACTGTCATGGCTTCCCCCCAAAGAATCCTGGGAGTTGTAGTATGTTATGGGTGCTGAGAGTTGTGAGGAGACCCATTTTCCCCTCACAGAGCTTCAATTCTCAGAGTGGTTTAACAGTCGATCTCTCTTCACAGGGAACTCTGGGAATTGTAGCTCTGGGAGGGGAATAGGCGACAGCATCTTAAAAAGCAGAGACATCACCTTGCCAACAAAGGTCTGTATAGTTAAAGCTATGGTTTTCCCAGTAGTGATGTATGGAAGTGAGAGCTGGACCATAAAGAAGGCTGATTGCCAAAGAATTGATGCTTTTGAATTATGGTGCTGGAGGAGACTCTTGAGAGTCCCATGGACTACAAGAAGATCAAACCTCTCCATTCTTAAGGAAATCAGCCCTGAGTGCTCACTGGAAGAACAGATCCTGAAGCTGAGACTCCAATACTTTGGCCACCTCGTGAGAAGAGAAGACTCCCTGGAAAAGACCCTGATGTTGGGAAAGACAAGGAGAAGGGGACGACAGAGGACGAGATTGTTGGATAGTGTTCTCGAAGCTACAAACATGAGTTTGACCAAACTGCGGGAGGCAGTGGAAGAGAGGAGTGCCTGGAGTGCTCTGGTCCATAGGGCCACGAAGAGTTGGACACAACTAAACGACTAAACAACAACAACAAACCACTCTTGGCACCCCTTAACAACTTACAACTCCCACGATTCATTGGGAGAAGCCATTATTCTTTAAAGTGATGCTGAAGGCTCCACAGGGCTGAAGAACATTAGGTTTATGTGATAATAGATGCCTTACACAAGACTTGCAGATAAATCTTTACTTGCCAGTTTGGCAACGGTTGAACAACAAGTATTATTCATATATATTTATTAATGAATGCAACGTGTTTCGCGCCCCTGAGCCCAAGAGAGGGTTTAGTCCTTTTGCTTGCTAAACTCTTTCATAGCAGTACATAAGTTATTAATTAGGGTTGCCATATGTCCGGAATTTCCCAGACATAGTCGGCATAGTGTCCGGGTGGAAATCACTTAAACGTCCAGGGAAATCTGAATGGATGGCAACCCATGTCATCAGTGTCATTTTTGGCGTTTCCCCTTAAAAGTGGCTCAAAATCTTCAATTATTTTTATTTTGAGATTTTGAACAACAACAAAAAAAGCTGTTCTGTCTGGATTTTAAATTTTTGAAATATGGCAACCCTATATTAATACATAGCTTGCCTGCCCTCACAAACTTCTCTAGCCAGTTTCTGCTTGAACTCACAACACTCCCTCATTCTCAAAGAATCAACTAAACAGAATAACCAGCCAACTGCCAACTGCTACCTCCTTTCCAGGATGCCATTTATTCTTTGTGAAATACATTTGCAATGCAAAGACAATACAAATACTAACCAAGAACACTCCCCAAGCAACACCCTCTGGAAACATCCATGCCCTTCTCTGCCCAGCCAAGCAAGAGGCATTTTCAGAGTTTAAGGATGCATCTCAGCCAGGCCAAAATACTCAAGGAATGGGTAAATCAGGGCCAGTGAGGGGAGAGGCCTGGGGAAAGGGTGTGTGGCCTGAGGCAATAGAGACGACTGGACAGATGTATTTGGCTCCCAGTCCTGGGGTTCCCCAACCTTAGGGTAGGCAAGAGCTTGGAAGAAAAGTCTCAGAAGGCTCCTGCCAGATTTGAACAACCTCTCTGAGCTGCAGCATCCTCCGGGGAACACTGTGGCACTATGCACAGTTGGTTCTGGGAGAAACAGAACTGTTCTGGGGCCTAATGGAATCAACTCCACTCCCCATTCCACCTGCATACTGCTGTCTCCAAAAAGAAAGTCCATGTGGAAAATGCATTGCAACTTTATTCATATGCTTAGCATGCTCCACAATTGCATTAATTCATCAGCAGCCATGTGCTACCTCTTAAAAGGCCTTTTCTGCATATATAATGGCGTGAAAGATTTAGAACCTTCACGTGAAAAGGGTTTTGGTGCTGCCCTGTAAATCCATGTCTAATCCACTTTATCCTAACCTACTTCTTGAATCAGACCAAGACCAGTTATGGGAAATATAAATCTATGAACTTGGCCACTGTTAGTGTACTGTGTACAGTTCCAGCCATCACATCTCGAAAGGGATATTCTAGAGCTCGAAAAGATTCAGAAAGGGGCAAATAAAATGTGACTGAGAAACGGCTTCTGTAAATCCGGGACTGTCCCTGGAAAATAGGGGCATTTGGAGAGCCTGCTCTTTGCATGAAGGATAGGGAGCAAAACATTTTATTTAGAACAAACTCAAAATGTTAAGCACAAGAAAAGCCCACTAGAAATCCACATCCTCAGATCAGCTGTCTCGGGGCCTGGTCTTTATAAAGCTCTTTCCCCCCTTTTTGGATGACCTGGAACTGCTCTAGACCCTGGTTAACTGGGGAAAAAACATACAACATGGCCTGGATTCCCCAACATTACATGGAATTGTTTGAGTCAATGATCTGATCGTTAGAAAACAGCTTTTAAAGATTGCTGTTCTAAAAACTAACACACTATGTCATCTATCTATCTATCTATCTATCTATCTATCTATCTATCATCTATCTATCTATCATCATCTATCTATCTATCATCTATCTATCTATCTATCTATCTATCTATCTATCTATCTATCTATCTATCTATCTATCTATCTATCTATCTATCTATCTATCTATCTATCTATCTATCATCTATCATCATCTATCTATCTATCT